TTTTGATAGAAGTTATCTTTAATATTAAAAAATTTATCACCTTTATCAATAATTAAATATGTGAATTATACTTGACTTTTCTAACAAATAAATTTACTCTTTTTTTTTTTTTTTTGGAGAGATAGATCTATGAATGAGATGATTTGTAGGGAGTGTAGCCGTCTGTACTTCTGTGATGTATCCCTGCCTATGAAGTTTCAAACTCACGGGAGAAAAAAAAATATTTACTCCATTCAAGCTTTGTTGACTTGTTGTCTGACGTATATTTCAAAGTTTCTAATCTAATCACAAAATTAAAGGAAAGAGTTTAAGCATAAAAAGTTGAGGGGGTAAAAGCAAATCAGCGCTTTGGACACTTGAAAAGGGTGATTTCAATATATAAAGTTAGCATATACGCATTTCGAGAGACAAATGTTAGATTTTTGAAGTGCTAGCTCTTCGAAGTGCGTTTAAAAAAAATTAGTAAATTATTTTTAAATACAGTCACCGATATTAAAAGTTTATATAAGGATTTTTTAAATAATAATTAAAAATATAATAAATATACTTCCTAATTAATATATAATATCAAAATTAATATTTATTTTAATGTTATTGTGAATAAATGATTTGAATTTATTCATTAATTAAATTAATATTAATATTTTTATTTTTATTCAATTAGTTACCCAAATAATGCATTTGTAGTGAGTTTAGGAAAACCAATTTTGCACTTAGACTATAATTAAATATTCTTGAAACAAATAATGGTATGAGGAGTAGGAGTTTTATGTGTTTAAAAATATTAATTTATAAATTAATTTTGAATTATTAAAAAACATATATTAACTATTTTTAATGATAAACACTAAAAATATAGTTACATATATTTTATGAGAAAGCTGCACTCATCATATTTTTGTATACTCTTAATAATTATTTATGTGAGATAACCATGTCAGCTTTGAGGGTAGGGGCAAGCACTCGTTTTTAACATTCTGTCTAGCCATTTTTCACTTATCTACAAAGTGCTTTTAAGTCTTGGACGGGGTATCATCATTGCCCTCTTTCTCTTTCATCCCTTCTCTGACATAATATCTAGAGAGAGAAGGGGAGAGAGAGCAGAAGAAAAAACCTAACTCGAAGTTTTTCTTCCTTTTGTTTCAGCAACAGCAATCATCATGTCCTCTTCTCACCTTCTCCATCGCCATCATTGTTCCCACTCCTGCACCCCACCTGCCTTTGGCTTTTATCATCATCATCACCACCACCACCACCTCCTTCTCCTTCTCCTCCTCCTCCTCGACCCTCAAAAGAGTTATCATCATTATCATCACCCACGCCTCAAAGGCAGTGAATTACTAAAAGAGATCAAAAAGGGCATGTGCTTGCTGCCGGAGAAGATCAGGAGGAAGGAGGAGGATGAGAAGAACAAGTCCTATCTTTCTTGTTTGAGGAGCTCTCCTTTTCCTGGTTTTCAGTGCACTAGTGACCAATTAAAGGGGTCATCTCGATCTACTCTCTTCTTTTGAAGACTTTACTTCAAACACTTGGGGGAATCAAGCGTCTCGGTCCGATGTTTCAATATTTGCTTTTTACCAATTAAGTTCTAGCTACCTCATATTCTACTAAGGTCATAGATCTGATCATAAGGGTTTGTGGGTTTCTTATTTGGGTTGTTTTTTAGGGTTTTGATGAAGAACTATCACTCAGCTTTACCATTTATGGTATGATTATTGTGTGTGGTGTTTCTGTATTTGTAGTAAAAGATTATCTCTTTCTCATCTCATCAACGTTACATATATGATTTAATTATTGTGCTTTAAACCTCCATATAATCCTTTCATTTGTGCCTCTCTCCTTAATTTGTAGCTACTCATGATCATCTATAGCTCAGCTACTTCATTTCTTTTCTTTTATTATGAAAGCTATACTTACCTTGAACTAGGTTTCTTTTCTTTTTTTCCTTTTTCTTTTTTGAGTTTAATAACCTTGAATCTGTTGCTTAATTAGATTTATTTTCTATCCAGCTTTAATCAACTCAAACCCCCAATCTTCGATCTGTATAATATATATGTTACAAATTAATTCAACGTTATATATATGTTTGTTTTGGTGAATATATTCGTTTATGTTCTTGTATCTGATCATATCAAGTATATATTCAATGTCAGAAATATATAAATTATGTAATTAATTTTTACATGCATGAAACTGAATGAATGACAACAATAACATAGCTTAGTCCAACCCCATAAAATTTTAAGAATGATCTTTTAATGAAGTAATTCACACTTCTGTTTTTGGCAATATTAGATGTTAATAATATCTTAAATTAATTCTACAGTTAATATTTACCGATGAATTTTTTTTTCTTTAAAATTATTATCAGCAAATTAAAATGCTTAATCATAAAAATTGCTGGCTAGGAATTAAGCAAATAAGTTAACAGATACTGAACTGAGATATTCTTTTAAGGTTGGACCCCAAACATAGATGGATTAAATAATGAATTTAGTAGGGGCCCAATTGATCGGAACACAACTTGGAAAAATTAGCATCATTAAGTGCGTCTTGGCAGATGGGCCAAGCTGATCTTTTGATATTTAACCTTTTGCAACATTCTCTTCTGTGGGTACCCATGCCTCTTGTAAAGTCCATGTTTATTCCCCACACTTCTTTATTTTAAGAAGAAATGAAAATTTAAAAATAATAAGAAGATTAGTGTTTAATTGTTTATCAATTGGACCTAAAAAAAGGTTAAAAAAATTTAAAGTTATGTTATTTTAATAAAATATTATGAAAAAATTACAATAATTTTATTTCTATTTTAAAAACTGTGATACATTAGTTTTTTTTAATAAAAATTTATTATAATAACGTTTTTTTAAAAAAATTTACTTGGTTTTTTTACAAGTATAGTTGATAAATATTTTTTCATAACAAAAAAAATTTAAATTTATGAGTTTAATGGCTTAAAATTCAGATTGTATCAGATTTGAAGGGCCTTATTATTTAATAGGTAATGTTTTATGTATTGTAAAACATTTTTCTTTAAAAAAATAATAGTAAAATTTGCCTGGATCTGGGCCTAAGCAAACCCAAACTAAAGAAAAGCATGTGAGGGCCCAAAAGCTCAAAAACGCAGCCCAAGAAAAACCGACTGGATTGTCCAGAGATTTTTTTTACACAACGAGTGGTGGCGGGTAGTCCTTCCAAGGAAAAATAATTTGCAAAAATCAGAATCAGAAATACTAATTCTCAGATTGAATCGAAACGAAATTCAACAATAAAACAGAAAGGATATCGATTTTTCATTGAAGCTCTTAGTAGTTGTAGCAATGACTCTTCAAGCCACTTCCTGTAATCTTGGAGGCATTTCGTTTGTATTCTCCACCCCCAGGAAGACCTCCAGCCGCCGCCGCCGCCCTTTGATCCGAGCTCAGTGTTAGTTTTCTGCTGACTTCATCTGCTTACTCATTTTCTGTTCTGTTTCAATTTTCCTGCTTGGGATTCATGATGGGTTTGACGAATTTGAGTTGGGTTTTCGTTTTTCACTACTTGGGCGATTTTTTTTTTTTTTTTGGGTGATTGTGATTCAGTGGAACCGTCGGAGAAGTCTGTGGAAATAATGAGGAAATTCTCGGAGCAGTATGCTCGGAAGTCTGGAACGTATTTCTGTATGGATAAGGGGGTGACTTCGGTTGTTATTAAGGTACCCTTTTGGATTGTTCTTAATGTGAATTTAACTGCTTTTTATTCTCAGATTTTCTGGTAATATTCATATAAATTATGGGTCATTGCCTAGTTATTGTCTTGCTAAAATGTGGATCAGAATGGTGAATCAGAAAGGACTACACTTTTTAGCTATTTTGCTAATGGGGTACTTTGAAAGGACAGGGATTAAGCACAGCCAGGGGGGTTTTAGTGTTATTATAGGTTTAAACATCCTAGATTTCGATGTTTAAAGTTTCTTGAAAAATAGGTGGATTGATTGGAACTACCATAAGGAACTAGCTGGATGGATGAAATTTTTACATTGTCCAATTTATTGCTTCAAGTTTTCCTTTTATGGCTTGTAATTTTTGAGCAAGTATCTGTGCTTAAGCTTGAGGTTTTTTGATCAGGGATTAGCTGAACACAAGGATACATTGGGAGCACCACTTTGCCCTTGCAGGTATAATTCATCCTCTCTTCTCAAAAATTTTTTGTATTCCTTAAATATCTTCTTACCATTTCTAAATTGGGCATACCTTCATAGTTTTTGTATGCTCTGTTAATGATTTTTAGTCTGGATCCATCACTACAGGCATTATGATGATAAGGCTGCTGAGGTAGGGCAGGGTTTTTGGAACTGCCCATGTGTTCCCATGAGAGAAAGGTAGATGAGTTGCACATCACAACCATTGTTTACTCGACAGTCTTTTTAAAGTTTCTAAATCCCTACCTAGGATATTTGGTGGGTGGTTTTTCATAATTTTGGCCAGCAGCCCAAAGGGTTTTTAAGGAGGTGCTGGTTTTACAGTATAAAGGAAGGATATTGTCATTTGTTTGCATTGAGGCTAGATGAATAGATGCCGTTTCAACTGCTAAGATAAATATGACATGGGATTTTGCTTAGATGTCGTCCATTTGAAAAGGCTAAAATCTAAAACATGATATGCTGAATGTTTTATAAGAAAAATAAGTTTTGTAGATTTTAAGTTGAGATCTGAGAACTAAGAAGGTTTATGGAACTGAGATTATGTTGCTCAAATTCTAATTATGAATGATGTTCCGAATTTCCTTTCCTCTTCCTCATTTCGCTATTCCCTGCAGCTCTGGTTGGCTCAGTCAAATACTTCTATCTTTAGTAATCTAGTTAACTCTTCGAAAGATGTGTCAATATCATGAATGTGCCCTAAGTTGTCATTCTTGAATTGTATCATGTGGCAGGAAGGAGTGTCATTGCATGCTTTTCCTCACACCCGATAATGATTTTGCTGGAAAAGATCAGGTAGTACCACTTATGTAAATTAGTAAGTCTTTGCACAATAGATTGCTTTAAGTGTACATTCTTTAAAGTTTTATGATATAATCATACTGATTTTGCATTGGTTCTTGTCAACTTTTGAAGAAAATTAGCTTTACTAGGTAGTTGTAGTTGTAGTTGTTGACTCTAGGTGTGAGCGTTTTTTTGTGAGGCATCCAAATTTGCAATAATGAGTTGGAAACTTCCAACTTCCAAGAGGAAAAGAACAGTTACAAAATAGAAATTGTTAAAAAGTTTTCTTTGTGTATTATTGTTTCAATAACTGATGCATTTTTTAACTCTTACACACCCCATATACTTTTCCTTTCCATGTTTTTCCTTTCCATGCAGACCATTACCTTTGAAGAAATCAGGGAAACTACAGCCAACATGTAATGCTTGATGTACTCACATACACGAGCCATCACTTGTCTTTGGCACAAAAGGAAGAAAAGGTGCTTAAATTTATAGCAACAAATTTCCAATTCTTATGTACTTAACATCTTTGATGTGCCATCGGTAACATTTTTGTACATTATAGTTATTTTACTTTCTATGTCCTATTCCTTCTTTCCTTGTAAGGCACATCAATTCTCACAAAATCTTTTAAATTTTCTATAAAATAATTATTTTATGAATCCAACGTTTGGATCTATCTGTTAACGGACATTATGTTAAATTTTTAGTCCTTCCAGCATCTACAACAAAATTGATAAAACATAAAACTTTTTCTTTTCTTTTTTAAAAAAAGTAGGTGCATCTATCTAATTTACTTAAGAGGTTGGTGTTTTATAGTTTAGACAGTAAAACATCAGTTGTTGAATGGAGCACTTTCCTCTAATATTAGAGGTCTCTTAATTTAGTAAGTATTATTTTGCAATCTGGACTGTAAAATATTTTTATGTTTACATAAAATTTGCCACCCCTGCTCCTTTGTTTTTTTTTTTTGAAAATTTTGAATTAGGATTCTTTGGATAGGGAGGCACCTCACTCGATTCTTATTTGATGGTTTAAATTATGTAGTTTATTACTGTTTAAATTGCACAACACCTTTTTATTAGGTTAAACTTTACAATAGGAATAATTCGTGCCATTTTTAACTTTCCTCACTCGTTTTTAATGTAGGAATATGTGGCTTGTAATTTAAAATCTCAAAAGTTTATAGGCACCCCTTCGAGGCACCGGCGGAGACAAGGGGGGCCTGAGGGGGAACAGGCCCGCGCAAAACTTTTAAAAAATGAAAATTTTGGTCCTTTAAGTTATATTTTTATTATTTCAATCCTTGTTTATTTTACACATTTTAATTATTTTTAACCTTTGTTTTTTTAAAGATTAGTTTTAGTGATTAT